TGTAAGCCTTGTGGGTCACCTTGGATCTCCCCCACTGGCCCATGGGGACCAACACACTTATTAACTACCCTACATCCCATAAAATATACTTTGCATATCTGTAGTGGCAAAGAATTAGTATTCACAGAGAGTAAATCTACTGAGTTACCCAAACATGTAAATTTAGGCACACTTTAAGTATACTGAAATGACCAAAGGCTGAATTTTCCCCCTTTGTTGCTAAAATCAGCACTAACTTTTGCAAATAAAGTACAATCCCTAGGCCTACCAACTTGAAAATGAAACATGACACCTCATCTCTTACTGTGTCGGCACTAGCTCAGGGAGAACTAAATGGAGCTGTGTCCTTACCCTGCATTGAGCTTGGCTTTATCAACCAGAGACCGAGGCTGGTACATATCCGCAAGTGCTTCCGGAGACTGGGGGGGTTGGCTGAATGCGAGGATACTGCAGTTTTGTTCCGTCAAAGGGCTGTCACTGAACCAAGTCATGGTGGATGACACTGGTGTTCCATTGATGGGGTCGTATATAGGAGTCATGGTTTTACTGTATAAACCAGGACTTACTGCAAGGCAAGGGGAGTATGAACTATGGTATGAGAATCCAGGGATAGAAATCTTCAGGAAAATATTAACATTACTTACACTAAAATGAGTTTTGACTTTAAATTTGGCACCATTTAAAATAATATAAGTCAAGCTGGGCACTGTGGCCCACATCTAATCCTAGCTACTTGGGAGGCTGAGGTCAGAAGGCTGCTTGAGCCTAGGAGTTTGAGATCAGACAGAGCAACATAGCAAGACTTCATCTCAAAAAACAAACCAAAAAAACCGTGCGAAATAATATGGATCATGATGGTAGAGAGATTAGTAATACACAGGTAATGGTCTTATCTGTAAATTCAGCTCCTCAAAAGCCTTGGAACTCAAATATATAAAAGCCTACAAAAATCAACACAGACAAATGTTGGGGACCACCTCTTTTCTTTTTTTCTTTTTTTTTTTTTT